TACACAGCTTTGTAATTGCAGGTGGTATTCGCACCAATGTCTTACCTTTTTTAATCTTTAACAAATTGTCAACAACTTCCAGTGACCAAAACTCACTGGAAAAAGTCATATCTTCAGTTCTTATGATTGTCTACCTGTTTAAAAAGCGTTTGTACAGCCTCAATTTCCTTTCTGTGCTGTTTTAACAGCAAAAAAGTTAAGTTCCTATAACTGAAATCAGCTAACAATATGATTACCAGTGCAGCACTCAGCACTCCTGGAACTACAGCAATTCATTCAAGTTTAATCATTTTCATAACCAAAGATACAGTGGTTAATAAGTAACAAAGTCGTTCAGTTCCGCTTTGTGTCTAAGCTGCCTCAAAATAACGAAGCAGAGCCACTGCTGCCCTTCTTCCTGGCTGGCCAGAAGTCTCAGTGCATGGCATTGTTAAGACAAACCCTGGCAAACTCAGGGAGGAGCCTGCACACTTGGCACGTGAGCCTGTGATGACATATTTCCCTTGGACAGAGGGCAGTTTTACCCAAATCCCCCTGCACTTTCTATCTACACGCTATTACATATGCCTATTGTTTTCCTGCAGTTTATTCATTCTTAATTATGGGATAGGAAGTGCATGAGTGCAACTCGGTTTTGCTGTGTCTATGGCCATATAAAATTTATTTATGAAATTGTTTGGCTAAAAAACAAAAACCAACCAAACAACCACCACAAGAACAACAACGGCAACAGTTTCCAGCTGCTGCAGTTCTCATTTTTATAAACTTTCTCATAAAAAAAAAAAAAAAAAAAAAAAAAAAAAGGATTTTAATGGCACACGGGGAGTATTTTGATTTACTGAAATGTGTGAAATCTACAAATTTCTGTGAAGACTGATATCATAGGCTTCGGGGAAAAAGCGTGGAATGAAGAGAGTGTAAAGCAGCAGGCTTCCTTCCCTGCTCTTGATAAAGCAGTTCAGTTCTCACATCACAACCTACCTGTGAAAAGAATCCACACGAAAGGAAAAGAGACAAATGATGTGATGTGCTGTGCGTAGCTGGGGCCAGCACATGTAAGTGCACTAAAAGTATTATAGCTTTGTAACATGTGCCCAACTCTGATTTTTTCCTCACAGTTTTCCCTGTAACAAATAAAGCTTTTACCTTGAGAAGCTGCCACAGAAACAGGAGGCAGCTGCAGAGAAGAAAAACCAATGCTTCCGTTCAGCAACTGGCCATTTGTTCCTGAATTGGGGATCTGGACAATGCCATACTGGTTTATTTGGACAGGAGCAGTAAAAGTAACTACAGAGCCTCCATCTTGGGAAGCAACAGTTTGTGTGTTTTCCCTTTTCACTTCTGAGCTCGGTATCAATCCTGGGAAGGAGACCGGTATGTTGCTGGGGCTGAACGTGTCTGCTGCTGTGTTGGGGACTGAAGCCTGGAGGAGTTTGAAGTCCTTCACATCTTCCGAAGAAGATGACATGATGTCGGTGATGGACACCCCATTGCTCACAGCACTTGAAGTGGTTTTGGGTGAATTTAAAGTCACCGGCTGGGAAGCCCCAACGCTGAGTCCATTGAGAATGACACCATTGGGTCCTTGAAGAAAAGAGCTACCATTGAGAAAGACGGGAGAACTACTGGCAGGCACGAGGTTCCCATTCAACAAGACACCAGATGAGCTCAAGGCTATTTTAGTGTTTCCAAGCTGCTGCATGTAGACGGGCTCCATGTGGCTGGGAAGGCTGAGGCTGGTGACTCCGTCAGATGAGCTGGAGAGCGGATGCGGGGATAAATCCTCCTGCCCCTTACTGGACTCATCCTCCGTGCTGGGGTTGCCATCTGATTCACTTTTGGGAAAGACGGAGAGATGACACTGTTACCAGAGAGCTCTGGACCAAAGCCCTGGACCTGCCTCTCTGCCACGATATGGCTTGTGGGAGTAACTTCTATTTGCTACGTTTCGCCTTTAAAGCGAGTCAAAGCAGAGGTTTCTCAATAAAGAACACATCACAGCAGGACGAAACTGCTTTACAGACTCCTCACTGACCGCAACCAAGTAGAGCCCACCGGGCCGGGCCCAGTCCTCCGTCCACCCGACAGAAGGGTGCCCGCACGTGTGAAAGCAACAACAGCAGCCATTTGGTTTAGAGCTCCGCGGCAGCTGCGGGCCGGGAGGCTGCGGGAGAGGCCCCGAGGGGACACCCGGGGCAGCGCGGCCTCCAGGTGCCACCTCCGCCTTTTGTGCGAGGAAGAACCGGCGGCGGGGCGGCCCCGGGAGCGCAGCGCTGCGTTTTGCTCGCTGACTCCACCGCCCCACATCGCATTTTTCGGTCTTTCCCTCCCTCCCTTCCCCCCCCCCCCCCCGCCCTTTGATGTGTCCCGAGGAAAGGGGGGCCGCGCTGCACAATCGCGCCCTTGGTTGAGAAATGCCTTGGGGCCCTCTGCTTTTTTGTTGTTGTTGTTGTTTGTTTCGTTCTTTTTTTTTCCCCCCCTCTTCCTTTCTTTTTTCCCTTTTTTTTTTTTCCTTTCCTTTTTTTTTTTCCCCCCCCCTTTTTTTTCACTCCCCCTCCCTCCTTCCCGCGGAGGGAGGAAGGCAGGAAGGCGGGCGGGAGGGGCGGCAGCAGGGAGGTCACCTCCACCTGCCCGAGCCCCCGCCGCGGCCCCACGCCCCGGGGGGAGGAGGCGGAGCGGGGCTGCGCAGCGCCGGGCGGAGCGGGGCGGGAGGGGTGTGTTGGGGGGGGGGGGAAGGACGGGGCCGGGCGGGAGGGCCGCGCTCCGCCGCCACTCGGGCCTCGGTGCTTCGCCCCGTTGAAACCCGAGCGGGGGCCGCTCCCGAATCAGGTTTCAAAACAAGAGTGAGCGGCGGGACCCCGCGCGTCAATGATTAACTCTGTCAGGAGGGATGGTTAAGTTTAAAAGAAAAAACAGAAAGAAAACAAAAAAAAAAACAACCAACAAAACAGAGAGGAAACAAACAAACATCGCTGCCCCCCCGCCCCGCACGCACCATACACACACACACACACACATGCACCTCCCCCGCCTCACGCACGCACAGAGACGGCCGGAAAAGTTGCGCCCGGGGGGGTGCGCTGGGAGCGAGGGAGTGGGGAGGGGGAAGGAGGGAGGCCGAAGGTAAGCGCCATGTTTGCAAGGGAAGAAAGGGCCGGGAGAGGGAGAGACGGCGGCGGGAGAGGGGGCGGGGAGCGGAGCGAGCGCTCACCTTTTGGACTGCGTCTCGGACGGGTTGCGGTCCCGCTGGCGGCGGTTCTTGAACCAGTTGCTGACCTGCGTGAGGGACAGCCCGGTGATCTTGGCCAGGTTGCGCTTCTCGGCCGGCGAGGGGTAGCGGTTCTGCTTGTAGAGCTCCTTGAGGGCGTTGCGGGACTTCTCCTTGAAGCAGTACACCGTCTCCTCGCCGTCCCAGATGGTGCGGGGCAGGGGGTATTTCCTCCGCAGCCGGTACTTGTCCACCGCCCCCAGGGGTTTGCCCCGGGCTCGCTCCGCCTCGGTGTAGCGAGCTTTGTACCACAGCTCCTGCAGCAGCGGGTGGTTGGACGAGTCGAAGTTGTGGCTCTCCAGGATGCTGTAGAGCTCGGCGTAGATGCCCTGGTGGAAAGCCACCAGCGCCCGGGCTTTCATCAGGCTCTCGTTGCCACGTAGCAGATCGCTCGGGGGCAAAGACCACAGGAACCGGGCCAGGCGGTCCAGGTTGCCCCCCTGCTGCAGCGCCTCGCACACACACGCGACGTGGTCCGGGGAGAAAGCCAGGGGGGGCTGCGAGGAGGACGACGAAGACGACGAGGAGGAGGAGGAGGAGGGAGAGGCGGCGGCGGCGTGGTGGTTCCGGGCCAAAAGTTCCGTGTGGAGCAGGACGGGCTCGGCGCTGCCCTCCTCCCCGGCGGCGGCTCCGTGCTCCATGGGGAACGGGGCGGCGGCGGGGGGGGGCGGCGGCGCGGGGCTCAGCGCGGCCGCTCCGTCCGGGGGCACCTTGCCGGCGTCGGAGAGGATTTCCATCACATTTTCCTGCTTGATCGTGATCTCGTCCGCGGGGGAGGCAGAAGACATGACTTGGTTTGTTTTCTTTTTTTTTTTTTTTTTTTTTCTCTCCCCTCTCTCGGTGTCCCCTTCTCCTCCTCTCCCCCCTCTTCTATCTCTCCGGAAAGTCCACTCCTCCTCCTCCTGCTCTCGGCCGGCTCTAGCCGATCAGGTTTCCTCCCGGCCACGCAATAACCATTAACGAGAGCTGCTATAGCAAAGTAGTGTAAACGGGCTCCTCTCCGCGGCTCCCCCCAACGTGACTCCCGGCCCCGCCGCAATACTATATGGCACCGCAGCCTGCTGGCCCGGCCGCGCCCTCCCATTGGCTGCACCGCCAGGAGAGGGCGGGGACTCGCGCGTCGCCATGGCAACTGTCAATCAAACGGCCCCGCTCTTCTCAGCCCCCCCCACTCCCTCCTCCCTTCACCTGGAGCCGCGCGGCCCCCTCAGCCCGTTCTCCTCAGTTTCCCGTCCCGCGGGGCCGGAGGTGGAAAAAATAAAGCTTTTCTCCCCGTGCAGGGACTCCCTTGAGGCTGGCTGTGAGGCGTGGTGCCGCTCGGAGCGGTTCGTACCGGCCCGGCCCGGCCGTGCGCTGTGCTGAGAGCCGCGGTGCGGAACGCGCGGGGCGGCGGGCGGTGCCGGGGGGCCGCTTTGGAGGCGCACCGGGCGGCGGAAGGCGGAAGGGAGCGGCGAGCAGCCAGGGGAGGAGGAGGAGGAGGAGGAGGAGGAGGCGGCGGCAGCCATGGACGAGCAAGGCTGCCCGCGCTGTAAGACCACTAAGTACCGCAACCCCTCCTTGAAGCTGATGGTCAATGTCTGCGGGCACACGCTGTGAGTGAGCCCGGGGGGTTACGTGGGGGCTGCCGGGGTGCGCTGGGAGCGCTGGGGCCCGGGGAGCGACCTGGTGTTGTGCTGGGCTGTCGGGCTGCGGCCAGGCGAGGATTCCAGGTATGGAGAGGAGGGAGGAGCGGGAAACGCGTTTCTGGTCGATTTAAAGGCTTCTCGTTTTTGTTTAGTGTTCTGCTTGGGTGACTGAGGGAAAAAAACACCTTTATGTATATATTACCCTGTGTGTTCTGAATGAGTAATGCTTTATCTGAAGGTTCTGTGCTGCTTTTAATGTTGGGCTATCCTCTGCTGAGCGTGTGCTGGCGGTGCTTCTCCAAGTACATCCCTTTTGCAGCAGGGAGGTCCTTACCGATGTTGTTCCTGTCTCCCAAAGCTGAACACGTGGGTAATTCCCGCTGCTGGCAGTACTGATGTAAGCACTGTGTGGTCTGAACACGTGCACTTGTGCATCTGGAGGTCTTCCTTAGGTTCTGGGCAAGTTGTAAAGGTGCTGCTCTAAATTCTTTCTAGATATTCATGATAGAAACCCCCATACTCCAGTAGCAATCCGTTCTGTTTTTTTTTTTTTTTTTTTTTTTTTTTTTTAAACCTTTTAAATGTATCTCTCCATTTGTCCCATTACTTAAATGTTAGGATAATGTGTTATGTTTCAGACTGCCTAAAAAATCCTGTGTGCTCATGTAGTAAGTTATCAGGATGAAGAAACTGGGTTGCAACAAGGGGTTTATGTTATATTATTTAAGGGTGAGAAGAAAAAAGGGGGGTTGTTTTAATCCCTTTCCCTGATCACGTCTTCTACGTCCATGCACACACTTTTGCTGCCACCAGGGAAGCATGTGGGAGGGCAGCAGATGCTCTCCTAGTGGTGCTACTGTAGGAGGAAGAGGTAGCAGGAGTGTCCCTTTGGTAACAGCAACGCTGGCTGTGTGGAACTGCAGCATCAGCACAAAATTAGTTCAAAAGGTAGCAGCTGGTTTAGGCGTGGCTGTGCAGCTTGAAAATGATGATTCTATCTATCTTCTTTTCCAGTGGAGATCAAAGCACTTCTTGACCTTCTGCTTTCAAGCTCCTCTAGAGCCACTTCCAGCAGAGGACAGCGTATTTCACTTTGCTCTCCTTTGATTCTCAGTGTTTTCTTTTATAGCTGAGTTTTTCTTGAGAATATCAGTTGTATTTTGTGCTATCCTGGGTACAACTTGTTTGGGGCTAATATTCCTGCCTGGCTTTCCTTGTTTCTTCCTAGCTGCTCAGAGACTGCCTCTGTTTTCCTCAGCTCTTGTTCTTTGCGCTTCTACATTTGGAATTGTTTTCTCCATGGCCAAATTGGTGATCTGAGCTCTTGCAGCCTTGGGCTCGAGCAGCCCAGGTATCTGCAGGTAGAAAGAACTGTGCAGTGCCACCCAGCCTGACCCTGCCTGGATCCAGAGAGACTGGTCCTTCCTTTGCCTTCCCAGTACAGAGGTACTGCAGTGGGGATCCACTGCCTTAAAGCATATGAGCATGAGGGTGAAGTCGCTGCATAGGTAGGATTTCTGTATTTCTTTACCTCTGTTGTAAGAACTTTTCATCTTGATGTGATTCAAGTGGGTCGCTTTTCTTCTGTAGTGTCCTTCTAGTAACACTTCTTTAAAGTGGTGTTTTTAGTATTACAAGTGCTTATTTCTGTATGCTATTACAAAAACCCCCATGCTTGAAGCTGTTTCTTGGTAATGGCTTGCTACGTGTTTTCTCTCTAAAATAAAGGTACTGGCTTCTTCCTGTAGGGTTCTAGGAATCTCAGTATTTCATTACGTACTCTTTTTTTTAGATTGTGTGAATGTTAATTGATGTGTCAGAAGTCTGACAAAATCAAAATTATATTGCCTCAAGTTGACGTTCCCTGTCTGCATTGCTCCTCTGTCACTGAAGGAAATTCTGTTCCCTTGTTATGGTTTGTTCTTACTCTGGCTTTAACTGTATTATCTGAAATATGCAGCAGATAGATTGCTTGGCAGCTCACGTATTCCAGCATCATCCCAGGACTGATGGCAACCTGTGCTACCATGTGTATTTGGTTTCCTGCTTTGTGGGAGTCAGTGTTTGTCTCCTTCTTCAGGCTGCTGGAACCTGATGTGTGGAGCAGAAATGGTCTTTGATAACTGCTTGTGTTGCTTTTTGTAGAGTACACGTTGTTATGTTGACCAGATTTGGAAACCTTGAAGTACTCTTTGAATGCAGTGATGCCTGAATACTGTTCATAGGTGTAGATTAGTAAGTTCCCTGCAGAGTTGTATTGCCTTAATTGTCTTTGTTTGATGTTTGCTCAGGAGTTCTGAGGCAATTGCTCTGATGTATTTCCCAGTTTTGGCTTGTGTTCTTGTCGTTGTGTGCTGACAGGGGTTTCATTAGCCAGCTCCTCTGACCTCGTGAAGGCTGATGCAGCAAACCCTGTGAATGCTTTAGCATTACCTGTTAGAGATGGTGTTAACACACTCCTACTTAACTGCTCTTTCCTTCACTGCGTGTGTTCTGAAGGGAAATGTTGTTACCTCCAGGTTGTTTCTTTCCTAATGCTTTTACTTCTCCTGGTTTAACAATTGTACTGTTCACCTTCAGTCACCTTCAGTTATTTGAAGTTTTACAAAAGGGAATATGTGCAAAATCTGTTGAATTTCAAATCATTAAACAGCTTTTGCCTGCTGTAGGGGCTTGCTTTGCAGGGGAGCTGGACTTGGTCTCTGGAGGTCCCTTCCAGCTCCTACAATTCTGTGTTTATACTTGGCTGAGATGGTTCGTCAGAGAACTTCAGATCTTCTGGCTTTCAGATAGCTTGTTCCTTTATTGTTAGTTCACTTTCTTTATTTTGTGGCTGTTCTGTCCTCCTGAAGAATAGCAAGTAGTGCTTTTTCCTGCTTTCTGTTGTCTCAGGAGTTGGAAGTTTCTGCTTTCACTTTCCTAGCTAGTTCCTCCCCTTTGCTTAGAATGAAACTAGAAGAGACTTCCTTCCATAGCTTTTTTTTTTCCCCCTATTTCTTGTGTAAACAAGGTTAATCTCAAAGTATTTGAGAGCTTGTTGGGCAATGTGTGTCCTATTTGCTCCTCTTTTTTTTTTTTTTCTTTTTTCTTGGCAGATGCCTGCAGTGAAGGTCCTCATTGCTATAAAGTTTGTGCTTCGGCTGTTCTGTTGCTCATCCTTTTCCCCTTCCTGATTTTGCGAATATAAATCTCTGGAGTAGATTGTATGTGGTCTAGTACCTATTTAGCCTTCCATCTCTCTTTTACTGTGACTTAGGTCCTGAGACATAGCACCTATGTATGCAGGTAGCATCGAGCACAGCGACACAGGCAGATAGGCAGAGGAGGGAGGAGCAGCTTTCTCGTAGCACCATATGTTTGCCATGCTGAGTTCTTCTGTGGCCAGGGAGCTTTGGAATGTGCTTGCATCCACTGGTGGCAGGGGTCAAAGCACTGATAAGCACCTTGGTGCTGCAGTGGAGATAAGGGGTAGCCAGAGGAGTGCAAGAGGATAAGATTGGACATTCAGTCTCTGCCATAAACATCCTTCAGGTTGAGTTGCTGCTGTAGTTCGCTCTGATGGAACCATGCCAAACCCTACAACTATGGGAATATATGGGGGGGTATTTTTTTAGTATTTTCCTTAGTTATTGTTGCTTGACCAAAATAACAAGTGTAACACCATATGTTTTTGGCATTACTGTAATCTTAAATAAGCCTTTTCCACTATAAATCTTCCCTGTCACAGGGAGGGCAGATGATAAATTAGCAGTTAAAAGTTGTTCTAAGGTGGGACTTAGTATGGAAATGCTCTGTTCAAGAATAATGAATGTCTTTTTAAGTTTATTTTCTTAAGTATCACAGAGGTTCAAGGCATCACATGCTTGGCTTTAAAGATGCTTTTGCTTAGGGGAAAGCGTGTCTAATTACGGAGCAGTGCTTGATTAAAGTTCTGCCATGCGTTATTTTCTAAGGTGAAGTGGTAGCTTTGCCTTCTTTTTAAAAGCTCACTCTGAAGAATTGTCATGCATGCACAAAGGCTTTTGAATGCAGTTTTTGATTTTTCAGATTCCTAATGTCTTCTCTGAATACACGGACGCAGGGTGTGTGCGTGCCAGTGCAGTTGCAATCCACCTGGCTGAGACTCTGAATTATCTTTTATTCAATCTGCTTGAATTTCATGGCCTATGCTGAGTTTTAGGGGGCAGGTTAAGCACATCCCGGTGATTTACTTACGTAAAGAGGAAAGGAAATGCGTCCACCAAAAACTACATTAAAAGAATGTTGAGGTTGTTACCGCAAACAGGGCAGGGTAAAGACATTTACTGTTGGCTGTAAACTTGGACCATATGGCCTCCGACAATCAGACAAAAGTCTTATGTAAAAAAGCAATTAATGGGGGCTGCTGGTTCTGCTTTGTTGTCCTGCTGCCTGCTACAGGGAGGGGGGAAACTGGTGTGTAAAGCTCCTTTGGAGTCAGAGGGGCTGCTGCAGGTACCTGTGACCTATCCTAACTGGAGGGAGGAAGCGTGGATGTCTGCAGACTAACAAAAGCACAGAAACTCCCTTTCCCCCCGGCGTTGTGCTGTCTCTGCAAAGTGTCCTTCCCGTGCTTGACAGCTCTGGGAGATGGGTGTGGGCACTGGAGCAGCCTCTGCAGAAAGCTGATATGTTGCTTTCCTCTCCTGCTTTCATCCCTGTCCTGTGTTTGCCTTTGTTCCTACACGGCTGCAATGTTAGATGGTCGTTAATGATTTTGCTTGATAATAAACTTTGCTGCTGTCTTCTTCCTGTCCACAACAGCCTTGTAGAAAGGTGTCTAGTCTCTTTATTAAAATTGATTTTTTTTCTCCTCCTTTTCCCAGAGGCAGACATGTTTATTTCTCAATTAATTTGTTAATAAGGCTCCAAAATGAAGATGGTGTAACAGTGCTTAGGATCTCTGGGCCCAGCTTTGTATCGCTCAGGGGAGACATCAATTCAGTGGGTTGTGTTGTGGGGATTCTAATCTGCCCTGCACCCTGTTATGGTTGTTCCAGGGATTCATTAGGGGGTAAGTGCATCCTCTGAGAACTCTAATTGCAGCGCTAACGGCTGCTAAAACGAAGAAACAGAGGTTTCATTATTTGCTTGTTTATTTTAATGCTAGGAGCACTTGGAGTTTTGCGGCTGTCAGATTCACCAGGAGTTGAAAGTATGAGCATCCCCAGTGAATACAGCAGAGTGGGATCTCATGGCAGCACGTGGGGCTGGAGTCATTGGAAAAAAGTTTGGAATCTCTGTGTTTAATCTCCTTCCAAGTGAAAGGATTGCTTGGCCTCCTGCTGCATTCTTCTCTGCAGTGTGGTTCAAGAAAATCACTGTCTTCTAGGGTGGAGGGGGAAGCCCCAGAGATTGTGGAAAATAACATAAAACTGTGTTTAAGCCAAGTTAAGTCTGAAGAAGCCTAATTAGGGGTAGGTGGTGAGGATCTGTCAGACCTGTAATTTTAACCTAAGCATGTGGGAATTAAGTGCTTAAATACATGTTTGAGTTTTATTCAGCAAGTTTTTTCTTCCTAAACGAAGCATCTTAAATACAAGGTGCACAAGCTGTTGTATTCAGGGCTGTCACTTGTTCCCTAGAAGTTTGCTGTGTGGTATATTTGTTTTTTTAAGGCCTCTGGGTTTTTCTACTGAAAAACTAGATAAGATGCTTCATTTTAACTACTTCTTATGGATGAACTGGGAAAAACATAATGTAACTTTTCACTTGGATGTGCCACAGGAAGTTAGGTTGGCTGACATTTGTTTGAAATAGCAGCACAATCGAAGCCTATCTGCGTCCTCAAAGGAAGAAGCAAAAAAGGTGATTTATTTTTTAGCTGAATATATTCCTGCAGAAAGAGGGTTTTTTTCTCCTGAATCAGTATCATCATTATTTATTTATTTATTTTTCCCTAAGGCCTGGGTTGCACAGGAGCACAGTGCTCATCCAGCTCCAACCCCCTGCTGTGTGCAGGTCACCAACCAGCAGCCCAGGCTGCCCAGAGCCACATCCAGCCTGGCCTTGAATGCCTGCAGGGATGGGGCATCCACAGCCTCCTTGGGCAACCTGTGCCAGTGCCTCACCACCCTCCGGGTGAAAATCTTCCTCCTAACATCCAACCTAAACCTCCCATCTCAGTTTAAAACCATTCCCCCTTGTCCTATCACCATCCATCCTCACAAACAGCCGTTCCCCATCCTGTTTGTACGCTCCCTTCAAGTATTGGAAGGCCACAGTGAGGTCTCCCTGCAGCCTTCTTTTTTCCAAGCTAAACAATCCCAGTTCCCTCAACTTTTCTCAAGGTATAAAGATCTGAGTTGCCTTTCTTTGTCTTTTAGGAGTTATTCCTGTTTTTATTAATTGAGATTAGAACTGACCCATCCCATGACTCTTCTAAAACCTCTCCAACTTAGTCATGGGTGGTGGTTAAATCATTGCTGAAATACCCAAGAGGTTACTTCCTTCTGCCATCCAGTTTTGACAGTGATTATCTGCTTTTAAATTTGGCTCTGGATCGCAGTCTAAATACTTCTGTTGAAATGATGTTAAAAATACATCTATTACTTTATAATTCAAGCTAATAATTCTGTGGGTTTGTGAGGAAAAAGGACGTTTTGAGTTCTCTGTTGTTGCCTGAGCTCGAAAATGCTGGTAAGTGATATGCATAGATTGAACAGTTAGGAAATTGAGCAAATATCTTCCTGAGTTAGGAAAGTTATGTGCCTCAGATAATACTAAATTGTTAGGAGAATGGAATTGAAAAGACCATCTTAGAGCACTGAGAAGTTCCATTCCTGTGTTCTTTGTCCGAGGCATTGGTTTCTTGTTATTTTTTTTGTTCCAAGGACAAGTGAAGGTGAGGTCTGAACTAAGGCTGGGTCAGCATGTTGGAAATTGAATTGAGTATTCCAGTGTTCAGATCTGCTTAGGAAATTAAAATAAAAAAAGAAAAAAAAGAACCTTCCCTGATGGTAGCAGAATGTGGGATGAGCTGCTGAGCTTGTGTTGTGGGCAGTTAGGATTCACATCTCCAGTTCCCTTTTTGATTTAATGACTTGCAGGAAATGGTGGGTATTTCTTCACAGAAGGGCTGCTGTGGTAGTTATTACAGTCATAAGAATTGATGTTAAGGGGGCACTGAGTTTTGTAGTGAGATCTGCTTTTTTTTTTTTTAATGTTTTGCAGTAATTATTTGTGACAAGATCTGATCTAAGAGCTTCACAATAGTTCCTGCTGTACCTGACAAAGTTGGACGTTATAGCTAAGATCATCTTTTGAGGCTCTGAATATGATGTTCTAAGTTGTGCTTCCTTTGTAGTTGTATACAGCATACATGAGAGGGAGAGTGTTCATGTTCAGGAAAGAGAACAGGATGCCTCTGCCACAAATGAATGATCAGCAAATAATCTGGTTTGATGGCAGTTATGCTTCAAACTGAGAAACACGTAGGTAATTATTTTTACTGTTTTACTGCGGTCCTGCTCCAATGAATAGCACAAAGGTTAAATATATGTCTGAGCATTTGCAGAATCCTAGGCTTCGTCCGAGCATGTTGATTCCTTAAAGTTACAGAGAAAGATAAGTGGTTGTACAGAGAGCTGGAAAGCAGTGGGTTGGTGCAGAGTGAGGAGCAGGTGCTTTTTAAGAAGCAGCGTTCAGGTCAGAGTTCTCAAGTCCTAAGAACGTTCCGCTCCCTAATTTTAGTAATGCCAAGCAGTGTCAGCAGGCTGTCCGTTGTGCCCAGGTTACGGAGAATTTCTCATTTTCCTAGACAGCAAAACTGAAGGGAGCGCTTCGGCTGATTCTGACACCTTCAAACCTGGGGAGTCAGCATGGGAAGCGTTGGGTCTGATTGGGCTGCAGGTTTGGCACCAAGATTTGTTGCATCACAACAAATGCTGACAGTGCCAGGTTGAAGGAGGAAGACCTCGCTTGTTCCAGGCAAGTACGGGCAGACACACATGCCTTTGTACTCCTTGCTGGCAACGTGTCGTGTGCGCGTCCTATAGAAACTGGTAACTTCATGGAGATTAGGAGCTGAAAAGTCTGTATGTGTAACTAATGACTGGATAATCTTTAACATGAGTATATGAATAGCCTTGTGTAAAAAGAAGGGTTCGTGTTGTTCTCGGAGTAGCTGTCTGCAAGCTTAAGAAGACTGCAAACTCTCAGTCCTTACGCACCCTGGATGGTGTTGGGAAGGGCTGTCAGTGGTGGTTGTGTAGTCTGATAACTCTGTGACTGATTTGCTGTGGCCTGGAGATGAGAAGCTGCCTTTAAATCCTCCAAATCCCCTTGTTCCAGAGAAAGCAAACAAAATCTGCATCCTGAGAAAGGGGATGTTTAAGACTGAGGGCAACACCAGGATGATGTGCTGCTGCTGTGAATGTGGTGAGCCAGGCAGCATTGGGGCAGTTTGGGAGCTGGAGAGGCCCATGTCAGTTGAGCTTAGTCTAGAATTACTGTATTTGAACTGTCTTGTTTCTGGTCTTCCAACAAAACCTGGCCTAAAGTCTTATTAAACAAATCCTTGTTTCTATTCTGTCTGTTTGGTTTTGTGGAAAGGTGGCACAGGATGGAAATGCAGATGTGTCCAGAGCGAGCTGTCTCTGTGTGGGCAGTACGTCAGTGGTGCATGAGTCCAGCAGCCCCCTGCAGACCTGATCCTTAAGATGAAATTGGGGCATGCACATGGGAAGCTTTGCTGCTAAGTAAGAAATTTTGGAAAGATCCCTCTCTTTAGTAGAGAATGTGTCTGGGAAACATCTCATGGCTCTGGGGAAACCGCAGTGTTTGGAGAGGACCTGGAAGGGGAGGGTGACTCCCAGCCCTAGCTTGTGACAGTGAACAAAACACAAATGCAGAAATGGATCTTGGCTGGGAAAGGAGAACAACTGCATGAGGACCTTAGGGGAGTGACCTGGAGCCTGTGACCTCAATACATTGCTTTTCCCTTGTGGGGTTGCAGCAGCACCCAGCATTTGAGGAATGCTTTGCAAAGTCCTGGAGCTGCCAAGTTCACGAAGCCCCACATTTTCCAGGGGCTCACCTGCTGCTCAGGCTGCCCTGCAGAAGTACAGCCTGCGGAAATGCTCCTCCACTCCCTGGGAGCTGTGCTTTGAGCAGAGGAAATCCTACAGAGCGCTAATGCTAATCGCTCTCAAATCAGAAATGTGAAATTTGGGCATGCTTCAGGCGTTATATCGGCTTAATTTCCTTAACTGGTGATGTGAGGATAATAGTGCCTCGTGGTGATTTTTGAGGAGGTCGGTTGCTAAATGCTCACTGTGCATGCCAAGGAAAACTGGAGAGGAAGGGAAAAAAAAGTAAACTTGTTGAAACAGGGTTTGAATGGGGAGAATAAACAAGGATAAAATGACATTGTCTGCATGCACATTGGTTGAATGTTGTCTCTCTGGAGGGCTGAAAGAGGTGGCAGTCCTGGCAAGCTGAAAAGAGCAGCCCTACAGCTCAGCTTCTGGCAGGCAAGCACATAGCTTGAAGGGGAAAAAGGCAGCGCTCAGGCCATACGCTGTGCAGGAGTGACGTGGCACGAGGCCTCCAACCACTGCCTGGCTGGGCTGAAGCAGGCTGATGGATGCAGAGGGGAGCAGCCTGACTGCCTCAGCCTGCCTTCTGAGGGAAGGGGTAACTGTGCAGAGATGGAGTGCGTTTCTATCGGTGCCTGTGACCACCAGAGGGATCAGACCACTGGGATTTTCTCTTCTGCAGTTTCATTCTGCATTCTTCCAAGCAGCTTGGTTATGGGTGGTTTACATACAGAGATTTTAATTGTCTGACGTAAGAGAATTATAAATTAGACATGGTCTGACCTATTTATGCTCTGTTGCAGGTTGACTTTTTTTTTTTTTTTTTTTGCTTCAGTCTGGCAAAAAAAAAAAAAAGGCTGTATTTATGACTGCGATGCAGCTTTATATTTCTACTTGCACAAGTAAGACTTGATTTCCAAAACTCGTGGTATTTCTCTATGTGGGTAGTTCAGAGGTAGCTGCATCATTAAGCAAGAGCCTGCACAGCCTGTGTTTTCTGTGAGCTGGATCAGTTGGATCCCATTTCCAGAGTTCTAGTGGTTCCCTCCTTCTAGAGCTTCAATGGTATAAATGGTGAATGCATCTGAAAGTAATCATTCATTGAATGTAATGGACCTCCACCTCTTTCTCTTACCCCTAATTGGTTCAGTGTTTTATTCTGAAGTGGGTTTTAGTGATGGTGGAAAGATGCAAAGTTGCCTGAAGGAGAGTTGCCCCAACCAATGTCTTTCTACCACACGTCCTTCCTTCACAAATATAGAAGCAGCTTTATCATTGAAAATTTAATGAAGCTTTCATCAATACAATGCAGTGCCTCTACTTTCTCTGAAACGTATTCATTTTTAATGAGCTTCACATTCTAATTTCAGATAACAGGAACAACTGAATATAACCATAAATCTGGTTTGTTTGTGAACAACGTGTCCCATGTCACTTGCAGTTTGTGAAGCAGCCATTGACTGGCGTGAAGCGTGGGAGGGGCCGTGCATCTCAGCGTCAAGCAGCTGCTATTTAAATCAGCATTGGACTGCATTTAGAAGCTGATTTAAATGGTTTGTTTCAGACCTCTATTTTTTTCATAAAAATCAGCCCTGGGAAACAGAAGCAGTGACCTTAAAGCAATGAGGCTGTTGCCTGAGTGATATTTCAAAGTATTTCTGCGTTGTGACTTTCTTCCTCCCCCCTCCATTAGCAAGCCTAAGGTTAAAAAGTACAATAGTGGGAAAATTCTTCGTAGATGTAGCAGAGCTGGTACTACTGAGCGAAATATAGAACTGTGTGTAATGAATTGCAGAAGATGGAAACAGTCTAGGAATAGCTGTGAAAGTATCGTGCAGCACTGCGCAGCGTCAAACGAAGGATTGCTGTGAAACATCACATCTTGTTGTGCTGCTTGGCTCGGCTGGAGGAGCAGCACAGCTCCTTGTGCTCGCACTTAGCAGGAGCGGAGCTGCAGAAAAGGTGGTGTTGCTCTGCATTATATGCAGTGACCACAGCTATGAGAGCAGGGTTACATTTTCCATTAGAATGGGAAAACGTTAACGCTAAAACACTGTTTTGATCATGTGAAAATGCTTTACTGTTCTATCTGCATTATTTAATTTATGGTCCTTTTATTGTTTCTCAAAATCATAATTGGCGTTTACCCATTAATATTTAATTTGTTTTGGAGGTTAATTGCAGAAAAAGGCCATATATAATACAATGCTCTCGAGTACAGAATCATAAAATATAATAACCAGAAATATTTGCTGCTACACATTAAAAAAAAAAAAAAAAAAGCCTTTGTAATAATACAAAAGGAGGTGCAGAGAGTAGCTTCTGCTTCACTTTCTTTCTCAGCAGTATGCAATTTTGTATTTAATATATATATATTAAAGAAATCAGAGTTGTTTTAGAGCCACAACAAATTTATGCACGCATTGCATGCTTGTATCCTGATTGCTCTTGGCTGTTCTAAATTTCTTGCCTTAGTTTATTTGATATATTACACGATCAGGGTTAGTTTGGGTGGTCTCCTGTGTTGTTTTTTTCTTTTAAAATCTAACATTTTATGCATGTTTTGACAGCATCTCAAATGAAACACACTGATGTCTGCCAAACGTATTATATGGATGTTCTCCCGGGTGGGACAGCAGCCCCAGAATTTTCTTCTATCTCTAGGACTGAGAAGCTATGGCATCATCCCTGTCTTGTGCTGCTCACTGTCTGCCACCAGCAGTGTCAGGGAGCCTTGTGGCTATCATCCCCAGGCAGGAGTGGCCTGGCTTCTGACTTCTGCCTCCCCAGCCAGCCCTGTCCTGCTGGGATGCAAGCCTTTGCCAGGGGAAGTTAAGCAATGCAGCACAGCCTGCGGTCTCTGCAGGACCTGGCTCTGATTGTTTCCTGGTCCCTACAGTGTACCCCAGCAAGAGTATGGCTTTTTTTACCTTCTGAATCCTGCCCTACCCAATTTGTAAGGCTTTCAGAGACTCTTGCCTTAATAGAAGAGATCTGGTTTGCATGATCTGATGTATCCTGAACAGGGAAGTAAACTTGCTGTTCCAGTCTGCTCCAGGCATTTTATAGAGCTGCTGGGCAGCATCAGACATGTATCAATGATGGACGTTTCCACTCAGTACTGATTGGTATATTTACTGAATTTCTGATGGCTAATTAAAAAGTTCAGATTCCTAATGAAAGTTCTTGTTTCCTAGCTATGCAGAGGAGAGCACTGGGGAAGAGGAGAGCTGTGTGGCAAGGCTGGTGATCCCGAAGATGAGCTCAGTTCATCAGATGTTTGAACACCCATGTAGTCCATAGGAGCAGTGAGGTTCCTCATGTAGCAATTCCTTTCCTGATCACTATTTATTTTCACTCCTGAAATGCGTGCATCTTTTCTGATGGTTGCTTCTCTATGAAGTCATTTACTTGATGCAGTTTATTTAAGGTAAATTGGTAGCAGTAAGGTAGGAGTTTGTCTTAAGAGTCACTTTTCATATTTGGCTGGGACTATTCGCAGTAGAGACTGAAGGTATTTGAGAAAGAACAGTGTGTGTTTGATCTGTTTCTAAACTTTACTAGTTCAACAGTCTTAAATGACTCTCTGTCATCTTGTCCTGAGTGACACCAGCTATTTTACTTGTCAGTCTCAAGTGTGACCTGCTGTCTGGGGCAGCTTTTTACTGTGATTTTGTAATAAATGCAACCTTATTATGATGAGAAAAGTTTTTTGCAAGCTTGGAGGAACTTCAGCAAAAACTTACTTTTTACTTTCCTAATTTCTGCAGTTTTTTTTTTTTTTTTTCCCAGATGCTTTAAGGAAAATTCCTTTTTATGTGGGGGCTCTTATGGTATATACTAATTGCACATACAAACTATGTTCCAACCTTTGTTTGGGATTCCAGAGCTCAGAAGTTAGGAAATATTAGAAAAAGGTTTTCTTGTTCAGATTGAGCTTGGTTTCTCTGTATATATGATAACATGATTATTGGCATGGAATGCTGTTTTTTAAAAATCTTTTAGGAGTTTATTTTGTACCATATTCAGAGAACATTTTCATCTTTATTTGATAGCCAAGTATCTACTGGACATTATCAAGCATCTGTAATGAATAATAAGCTTGTTCATTTCTTCCCTTTCTCATGGTACACAGTGACTCTGTGTACAAAACCTTTTATGCTTATGTTTCTCATGTGATACAAAAGCACTGATGAGAAGAATCGAGATTTTACAGGGTTCTCAGAAGTGTTCTCTGGGGGAGTGTTAGAACTTTGCCACTTACCCTTTTATTTTCCAACAACTTCCTTCTACAGCAAACAAAGATGAGCATTTGAGAGCCTCATCATGGTGAAGAGTGTTAAAGCTGGACTGTGTTGATTCTAGGAATAGCTACTGGGCATTCCAGAAAAGGTATTTGTGTTCATTAAGGTAATTATATTTCAACCTTGCAGTACAGTTTTTAAGGTTTTAAAAGGTTTTATTTAGTGTTATGACATGGAGCACATAGGTGACAGGTAACTTGTGTAAAACAGTGTTCTGGGCAGCTAATGCACTGGGTCATCTCAGTGCTGCTGTGCAGTATTAAAGCTGAAATTTTGATCCTGGAGGAAGGGAAACTAAGATAAAAAGAAGCAGTAGAGTTTGAAAAAGAGTGGGATTAAGCTGGATATGGTGTCTTTTTTTTCCTTTTTTTCCCCCCTTGTTTCCCATTTGTTATGCCTTATGTCCCAACCCCACAAACAGTTACATCTGCATGTTGGAAAGGCAGCAAGCTGCAGTGCTGATGCAGGTACAGGGAGGAGGTGGGGATAAGCAACATCTGCTCTGTAACTGCCTCTCTGCCTTTCCTGTGGGTTCTCTTGTTTTCTGAGACTCTTTGGCAGTCATGCCCCTTCCCATGCAGGTTTTGTCTGTGCGTTTTTTAAGCTGAATCACGAAGAAGAAGGCTGTGCTCTGTCAAGCATCTGTGATTGTGCCCTTTTTGGCAGTACTGTTACTGCTTGTGCTCAAAACATTGAGGCTGCTTGTGCTCTGCTTCTGGCAAATACAAGCTTTTGATTGGACACGTATTTGCTTTGTGCATGAAGACTTTGTTGACCATGCCTTTTATGTATAAAGGTGACAGGAAGGAAAAAGATGAGCAGCAGTTTGGTAAAAAGTAATAAAAAGTAATAAAAGAAATTGCTGGACACATACATGGTGACTTCCAGTTGAGTCTTCATGGTAAGTCCAGCTCATTGAAATTCAGATATCCTCATTATTGCACGCTTGTCCTACCATGTGTTCCTACATTTGTTTTTTTGGCATTGAAAGGTGAGCCAGTGCAGGGCTTGATCCATTTGATGGTTTTCAACTGGATTAGCTCCTTATGCTGCTCCCAGGAAACTGAATACAAGCTTTAGGATGTGCATGAGGGCTGGGAAGCCAGATCAGCCTAGATTTGAAAGAAGGATGAGCTACTGTAGGGCTACACTGCACCTTGCAATTGTAGCCATAGGTGATGCTGGGTAAAAATAACCGTATGCAGTGTTGACGCGCTTCCTTGATGATGGTTTCAGCCCCGCACCAGGAGGTCGGCAGTCCTGGTGGTGTTGGTTCAACATGAGTTAACCATGTAGCTATTGGCAGCCATGCCCCAAAACTTTGGATGTTGGATGATCCCACACAATTTCCCCTTTGCATTCGGTGGGGGTTAATGTGTTTGCTTTAGTTGACAGCCTGAGCGTGCAGAGGCTCAGGTTTTTTTTTTGTTTTTTTTTTTTTTGCTCGAACGCTGTACAGCTTGGATTTGGATTTGGCTTAAACAAATCACAAGCAACCATCTCTTTGTATTGTGTAAAGCTTATGTTCCTGAGAATGAAAAGATCATTTGTGGATTACTGGAAGTGCCGCAGTTTGGAAAGAGCTATGCTGGGGAAGATGCAACTTTTTGCTTGGAAGCATGGCCAGAGTTTTTCAGGTCTCTTCGTAGCCCTTTCAAAGCTGGAGCAAAGGGATTCATTTCACATTGGTCTCCTGGTGTTGTCAGCAGTGTGAATGAGGTTTGTGTGCTGTGTTATCCAGGATGATCAATGTGTGGTACTTCGTGTGAGCGATGATTTTCATTTTGCCTGTTTTTCTTCCCTACGTAAACGGAAGGGAAGACAATGCAAAGCAGAATGTGTTTTGATTGTGGTGGGACTGACCATGAAGCAAGTCTGATATTTGATGCGTCGTGGCTGCCATCACAACATGTTACTTCTGCAGACTTCTTTTAAGCATTTTTCACATTGGTAGCTGAAAAACCCTTGCAGTCTCAGCTCATGATGGCTTTGCACAGGGTAAGGCGAGAGCCTTGAATTAGCTATAGTGTGAAAGGCAAACAAATTTGAGGGCACAGTGTGAACAAGAAAATCACAGTTTCTCCATGACTTGTTTAATGCAGCATCTCTCACTGGAGTGCTTGCTTTGTTACGTGTGTTCTTTTCTCAGTGGAGTGGCAAGGTGGGATGGAGAGTAACGCTGAGTTTAGGTGATTGTGTTTGTGGTTCTTAAATCTCTGCTGTTTATTGTTCTGCTCTTAGAGTAGGGATGGATCTTGGGAGTGTTTTGTGTGCATGCAAGTCATTGCTGCCTGTGGTTGGGAAGCAATCCCACAGCTCTTACCTGCTGTGTGCAGCTGCAGAGAAGGACAAGGAAAAGTCACGCTGCCTTTAGCTTCCTGAAAGTACTTTGTGTCCCTGGAGTGCAAAACTTGGGGTCTCTGCAAAGGATAATGGATGCCGTACAGGTGAGTCAGCCTTTTGTGCAGAGGTCCAGGTGCTTGACTTATTTTCAAGCTTGCATGCTAGGACACACACTGGCATTCATCACATTCGTAAACACCGCTTCAAGTTGAGGAAGGCTTTTGTCTTCTAACCTGTTTTCCTGGGTGCTCTGGCAGTGATCGGCGTGACGCATTTTCCCCAGGTGGCATCAGCAGCCTGTGAAAAGCTGCAGGAAGCATTTCTGCCATGCGACCTTTGGAGCAGGGTGATCTTCAGGCAGGACGAGCAAAGTCCCAAAAATAGAAACCAAAAATACAGTTATCTATAGTTGTGCCTTGAGGACAGGGAACGTGGGCTCCGTGTCTTCAGGCATCCCTTTGGGCAGTGTGGTTCTTCTGCTTGTTTCTGCTCTGTGTGAATTTGATAGTTGATAAGTAATTCCTGCAGCACAGGAAGCAGTGGTGATTTTCTGTTTGTTTGTTTCCTCAGTGGTGGAAAGACCCTTACTGGTATTGCTGAGTGGAACAAAGTGGAGTTGTAGCCTGGTGTGCCGAGTTTAGACTTTCACTTCTTTGAAGCAGTTTCCCTTTAATGTATGTTATTCCTTTATAGCTTTTCTTTTTGAATAAGACTAGAATACTTACATCTGCGGTGAAAAAGTGGAAAGCAGTTCTTGATCAGTTTCCCCTCCATGTTTAGTGTAAGTATAGCCTTGCTGCTAGGATTGCTTGCAGAAAGGAATGCTGGGCAGCCCTAAATCCACACTGGCTTCCTAAGTAAAACAAAAGCTCTGCAGTTACATAGGAATTACTCAGTGCATCTAATAAGAATCTTCTCAGGTGTTTAATCTGTTCCTTGATTTTTCTCTTCTCCTTTCTGTGTAGTGTGGATGTTTGTGCTTGCCCTCTGTAGGCCGTTGTCTTGCGGGGCTTGAGTTTGTGAATGATAATGAAGTCTGGTTTTAAGCACTGATGTACCTGTGGGGCTGTTCAAATGAGAAGTATGGCGTGGAATCCAAAGCCC